ACAGCGGAGACAAAGACACAGCGGAGACAAAGACACAGCGGAGACAAGCGGAGACAAAGACACAGCGGAGACAAAGACACAGCGGAGACAAAGACACAGCGGAGACAAAGACACAGCGGAGACAAAGACAGCGGTCTGGAATAGAAGTGTAGCAGCGTAGAGGACGTCTCTCTGAAGCCACACATCGGTACGTTCAACACGTGCCGGCTGCGTTTCTCTGGTAAGTCACGCTTCCAATTATTCTCTTCATAAAATTGCTCACGTGAAAAGATGTATTTTACTATAAGACAGAAGCGCCTTCACAGTTACTTCTTAAAGTGAACTATTATTAAATAAATGTTTATTAAACATACTGTGTTCTTTGAAGGTGCCTTGTTGAGCACTAGTCCAGTTTAATTACTTTGGTTCCATGCAAACTAAATATATTTCATCACTGCAGATTAAATCTTCTGTCAGCAGACGGTCTCGTAGTGTCTCCACCCGACATGTTTCCGTGCTATAGTTCTGTATTCTGTGAGTTTTGCTACTTGTTACCATTAGCGGTGAGCCGTGGGTGTCGTCCTGCAGCAGCCTCTGCATTCTGTCACTACGCTGAACATCTGTGCGTTGGCTGCGTCTCCCTGCAGACCGCTGCACTCAGATTATCCTTCATACGATGCTCATTATCCTCCCATATTCTTCTTTCACTCGTTATGCTTTTTGAGCGACGGGCCGGCGGCCATGACATCTTTATTAAGGTGCTGTGATCAAAAACACCAAACGCTGACAAACTGCTATTTTCACTGTGAAAAGGACAAGTTGAGAGAGATGGACTCCTCAGTGTCTAACTGTGTGTCTGTCTCTCTCCTCCAGTTCAGTTCCCCACCGTGAGAACACAAAGACCTGAGCAACCAGCTGACAGACGGAGGACCAGGAACCGCCTTGCATCATGGGGGTCGCGGTCTACAACGTGTCCTCCACCTCGGCCCGAGTGAGCTGGCCGTCGTCCCCCGGCTGCCTGGACACCTTCTACAGCGTCATGTACGACCCCAACTGGAACAACCTGATGATGGGCTACAAGCGCAAGAGCTTCATGTACGAGGAGCGCATCCCCGTCAGCCAGACCAGCACGCACCTGGCCAACCTGCTCCCGCAGACCGCCTACTTCCTGTGTGTGACGTGCCAGGCGGCCAATCCGGTGCGAGACCAGTGCCAACTGTTCAGCACGCCGAGCGACAGCGGCGAGGGTCACGACCGGACGGGCTGGGAGCTCGCCATGGGCGTGTGGCTGACCTGCTGCGTCCTGCTGCTGGTCATCGCCGGCATCCTGCTGTGGGGGTGCCTCCGCACCATGTGCTCCGTCCCCGATGGCTGCCGGGTCGCCCTCAACTCCGCCCGCCGGGACATGTCCGGATCCGGGCGCCTGTACGCTCCCAGACGCACCAGCGAGGACATCATGCAGCCCCCCCCCCTCCTGTCCACGCAGACCGCCGGCCACATAATTACCCAGGACCATGAGATGAGGACACTCGCTAAGCTGTCTGGCAGCGAGCCAATGTGAATCAACCGGATTGAGGTCATCGTAGCATTGTTTCTGCCCCTGAGCTTCTTCATCCGCTGATGGGACTCTACGGAGCCCTGAAGGTGTCGTGGAGAAGACTAAACACACTAACGGAGCTCCTGACTCACCAAGACTCTACTCACACATTATTCATATCAGCACGCACTCTCCATCATCCCTTCTCTTTACCACAACCGTGTTTATAGTCAACTGTCTCGTGAATTTTAATTAAACTGTTTAAAACACTTATTAACCCACTTTGTAAATCTGAATATTTTTATATATACATATACATATATATATATACATATACATATATATATATACATATATATATATACATATACATATATACATATATATATATACATATACATATATACATATACATATACATATATACATATATATATACACATATATATATACATACACATATATATATATACACATATATATATACACATATATATATACATACACATATATATACACATACACATATATATACACATATATATATATATACACATATATATATATATACACATATATATATATATACACATATATATATATATACACATATATATATATACATATACATATATACATATACATATATATATACACATATATATACACATATATATAACACACACGTTTATAATGGAAAAATGTATAATGGCGTCTTTTCTTTCCACTCCCTTAGATCCTTTATAGAGACACAATCTATCTTGTTCTGTTTATCAAAGATTCACGCACACACGTCAGTCGAAAGCTGAAATTACAATACAAGACAGTTGGAATCATTTCCAAAACTAAAACGGTGTCTGAACACCGGATCTTTTATCTTTACAACCTGTCCGTCAAAATGACAGAAAACCAGAATGTACATCCAACAAAACAAAGCGTCCTGACCTTTGACCCGTACAGGTACTGGGGCTGAGCGTTGGGCTGCTTGTCCCTCTGGAACTCCTGAGAGAACGGCAGGACGGTGCGCACGAACCTGGAAACATCCGATAAGAGATTCATTAGAAACCAACATCAGGGGTTAGTGCGGTGCGTGCGTGCGTACCTGTTGGTGGAGCCGTTGTAGCAGTAGTTGGGCAGGAAGTCGTAGTTGAGCTCCCAGAAGACGTGCAGGGTGATCCGTCCGTACGGGGCCGACACGTTGTGGTTGGCCTCCCGGAACATGGCGTCCATGCTGTCCAGGGTCAGGAACTTACTGAGGAGCTTGTGCGTCATGCGGTTGATGTCCAGGAGACCTTCCAGCTCCTTTTGACCACACAGATTAAAAACAGTCCACAACGGCACATAGAAAACAACAGCAAGGATGTTATCCTTTCTAAGAAAGATAGAAGTGAAGCGCACCATGATGGAGGTGAGGTCCTCGCTCTCGAAGCGGTTGATGGCGAGCTCCAGAGACTTGTAGAGGGCGGCGGAAATCCTCTGAGTGATGAGTCTGTTCAGGTCGATGGAGCGGCCTAGAAGCTGAGATCCACAATGGCGTTAGTGAGACACAGCGTGGAGGCGGAGGCGAGAGAGAGCAGCTCGGTGTGTTGTTGTTGTGTACCTGGACGTGGCGCTGCTTCAGCAGCGTCTCGTAGCGGTTGGAGGCCGGCCAGGGGATGTTGGCCCCTTGGTTCTTACAGTCGGTCCTCAGACGTTTGTCCAGCAGAAGACTGAGAGATTCACGGAAAGAGAGGAAGAGTTCAGTCACTGGTACACGGAGGAATGGATGAGCTCAACCAGCAAACAGCAGAGCAGGTTCGGGACGTTTTTCTCTGTAGAATAAAGTTCTGCTCCTCAATGAAGCAGAACCATCATGACTAGAAGTAGAGAAAACTAGAACATGTCTTCAGTGAGAATAACAGTTATGACATAAAGCATTAAAAAAGATTGGCAAACAATGGAATCTATATATCCAACATGTTGCCACAAGTGTTACCAATGTGAAGTCTCTACGTGTTATAAAGATTAAACTATTGACAGCCTCCCCTCTCATCTCCCCCCTCTCCCCTCTCCTCCTCCCCCCCTCTCCTCCCTCTCCTCCCCCCTCTCCTCCCTCTCCTCCCCCCTCTCCTCTCCCCTCTCCTCCCCCCTCTCCTCTCCCCTCCCTCTCCTCCCCCCTCTCCTCTCCTCTCCCCTCTCCTCTCCCCTCTCCTCTCCCCTCCCTCTCCTCCTCTCCTCTCCCCT